CCCGGCCGCGCCCCGCGCGCCCCCTCCCGCCCAGCTGGGGGCACCGAAGGTGACTTTCACCCCGACACGCCCTAGACACGCCCCCGGCCCAGGTGCGAAAAGGAGGGCTTCGAAGACTCACAGACTTTGCATCCGAGAGGCCTGGTCTGCGCCCCGAAGGCAAGGGTCAGGGCATGGGACTGGAGGCCCGGGGCCATACACCCGAAGAGCTGCACAGCGGAGATGGAGCCCAGAGAGGCTGTGAGAGTTGGGTCCCTTGATGCTCTGGGCCCCTTCTATGCTCCGGGCCAAGGTGGGGCCTGGGGCAGAAGCTGGGCAGGGCCGAGGTGAGGGCGGGCGGGGCCTCGGGCGGCTGCCGCCTCGCAGCGCTGACGGGGATGGATGGGCGCCCCGCGGCTCATTCGGCCCGGAGATGAGAATCATTGATCACGGACGGAAACCCCATCACGTCTGTCAATAGGGCTGACAAACGGCTCCCGCTGCCCCCATCCCCGCCCCACAGCACCTGCGCGGTCTCAGGACCCCTCTGCTAGACCAATCTTCCACCTTTATCCCCCCTCCCGCCGCTGACCTCCGCGCGTCCCGGCGCGTCCCTGGGCTGATGGGGGCTTTGGGCAGGAAATCCCCCTCAGAGCCGCCCGCCTGGCCTCTCTGTCCAGTCTCTGTCCCTTTCTTCCCACTGTCCCATCTTTCACCATCAGCTCCTTTCTCTCCTTGTCCCCTTTCCTGTCTGTCTCTGTCCTTGTCTCTTCCCTTCCCCGGTCCTGTCTCTGTCCCTATCCTCTACCCCATTTGTTCCTCAGCTCACCGCCCCACCTCCCGGTCTCTCTCTTCCCTGACCAGGGTAGTCTTCAGCTGTCAGCTGTCAGCTGTTGCTAGCGCTGAGGCTGTGGCTGAGGTTGTGGTATGACCCACACCTAGACAGTGAGAGACAGGGATAAGCAAAGAGATGAAGGGATAGGCACACACCTGGAGACACAAACACACACACTACGCAAGCACACAGATGCATTTGTGGGACAAGTCACACCACAGAGGTGAGCACACACATGCACAATACAGTCACATACACAGACCAGCACACACATACACAGACAGGTGCACACCTAAAAGCACACCAACACACACACAGATGGACACCTTTGTTTCACACACACATAGGAGCATACACAGAGACACAAACAAATGCACGTTTGCACCAATAGAAACTCACGCTCATCCAGGTACTCAGAGAACACCACCCCCCTTGGCAGAAAGACAAACATCCATAGACAGAGATGGACACATACACTGAGACACACACACACATGTGTACTTGGACCAAGAGTCCAAAAGACAAGCTGAGGCAGACATATATATGAAAGTACATACAAAGAAATAGACAGGCATAGGGATGTAACAGACTCAGAAAAAGGGTCAGGGAAAGGACAGGGATGCTGAGAGGAAGAGGCAGACACAGAGACAGAAGCCAGGAGGCAGGAACCTGAGTGCAGGCAGGTCAGAGAGGAGAGAGGCAGAAAGGGATAGGAGTGGCTAGGCCCAAGGCCAGAAGACCCCAGTCAGAATCTTGAGCCCAGAGCTCCAGCCTAAGGGATGCTACGGCAGTGGGTAGGTGCAGTGGGCACACCCAAGTTTGGGCTGCCCAGGACAAAAGCCCCTCTCTAGGGTCCTGCTCTTCTGTGGTCCAGACCCACCTCATTCCTCCTCTTTTTCCTAGTCTCAGGTCACCCTCTTCTGTCTCTAGCTACATGAGCGTGCACGCACGCGCGCACACACACACACACACACACACACACACAAACCACTCTCTGCCCTTTGTAATGTCTCCATCTCTGTCGTTCTGTTTCAGCCTCTGTCCCTGGTTCTTCCCGTCTCTTTTCCTTCTCTGTATCAAGCCCCCTCCCTCCTTGCAGGTGGGGAGTGTTGAGTACTGCCTCCTGGTGGATCTTTTCCCAGTGGTCCTGGTGGGCAGAGGGAGGATGCTGACAGGAGAGGTGTGAGTTCCAAACCGCACCTGGGGACCCCTCACTCTTCCCAGGATCTTGAGGCGACAGGCATAGAATCAGTGGCTCTCCAGGGGCACCAGATGTATGCCTGGCAGAGGGAGGGGGAGGGTGGGTGGGGCTGCTGTTAGTGGGGAGCAAGCAGGCTTTGGAGGAGGGAAGGGAGCTGGCTGGTGCTAGGTGAAGAGGGTGTGGCAAAATAGCCCAAGGAGAAGTGAGGGGCTGGGCTAGGGTCCACTTGCAGGTGCATAATTAGTATGTGTTCGGGTGGGGGCCCTTGCTGGGCTTCTGGATGCTCAGTGATGCGGGAGCACGGATGCCATCTGGTGGCCAGAGGAGGGCATGAGTTTCTTTCTCAGCCGTTAACAAGGGTGCCCCTATACTGGGCAGGTTTGCTCTGGGGATCCTTGGAAGGCAAGGTACCCGCCTCAGAGCTGGATTAGATGCTGAGGCTGGAGATGGGGGTCTCAGAGCTAAGAAGGAAGGCGAGGGTTCTTATTTCTAGAGGTGCCTAGACCCATAGCATCCCCAAGGAAGAACACCAGGGATGAATAGAGTTGGGAAGTTGAACCAGTGAGGAAGGTGGAATGAAAGGTACTGCTCCCCTTTGAGAGTGGGGTGTAGGCTTTTCAGTCACCCTCCCTGAACTTGTATATACTGTTGAGGAGTGAATGGGGCTCTAGTCCTCTCTTTCAGTCCTGGCCATCGTAAAGCTGTGTGACCTTCTGCAAAAGGTTCCCTTCTCTAGGCAGGGGTTGAAGTAGACCTCGGGCTTCTTTGTGGGTTTCCTTCCCTGCCAACCCCTGAAATGTCTAAACTAATTGGTCAGTTGGTGGCCAGTGGGGCCTGGCACACTGGTATTCTCAGAGCTCTCCTTCACCCCAGGTGTCTCCTTCTGAATCCAGGGTTCTACTCTTGGTTTCTGACTAGTCTCCATGAAGTGTGCACTGCAGTTAGGGCTTCAGGAGCAAACTCAGGCAGGGAGAGGTGTTTGGAACCACCTTAAAGGGTTGAAAGCCTTCATGACCTCAATGTATTCTTTTTTTATGGTGAGAATTCTCAATGTGGGAGATAATTTTGAGTAGGGAGGGGAATGGTGTTATCCTATAAAAGTGACAATACAAAGATCTTAGAGTTGGTGTCCTAGAGTCAGAGGCAACACAAGGTCCAGAAAGGTGAAGTCACCAGCTCAAGGTCACACATCCAGGAGAAGCAAGTCTTCATCAAGTCCAGTGCCACCCTTCTTCCTCTGCTACAGCAAGATGGAGAGGGAAGGAGTTGAGGTGGGGAGGTAAAGGCCACTGGACACCAGCCACTCAAGAAGGCCTCCAGCTCAGAGTAGGGCACCCTCTGGTGGCTGGAACACGCAAGCACAGCCCCAGTTCTCAGTCTCTTACTCATAGGCAGACACAATTGGCTTTTTTTCTTTTTTACAATTTTATTTATAACAATATCTGTGTTATTTAGTTGTAAAGGAATTCAGCAAAAATTATTAAAACGTTCACGTCCCCAAAACGGGGCTGCCCGCTTGCCCTTCCTTGCTGTGCCCCACCCCTTCCTCAGTCCCCAGGGGAGGGGAGGCCAGGAACTGTTCACCTAAGAAAGCCTCAGGCCAGGAGCTTCGGTGGGGGTACTGAGAGGTGGAGGGCCTGTCCGGTGGGGTACAGATCGTGGCCATTTCAGAGGTGCCCCTGGAGTGGGGACTGGGGCTTGGGGTGGCTTCCCTCAAGAAGAACTAAAAAACTCCCTCCTTTCCTTCCTACCTCAGCCAGAGCCCAATCTTCCAGACAGGGGCAGCAGAGTCCTCCGCCCCCAAGCCAGCCCTCAGGGAGTGGGGGCAGGCCGCAAGGGGAGAGCCTTGACAAAGTGTCTTGTATGAAGAGGGGGAGGCAGCACCACCAGCTCTCCCAGTGGGGGTGCATTTGGGTGGTAAGGTAGGAGGAAAGTCCCCTCCTACCTTTAAGCCGAAGGAGCCCCCAGAGCCTCCCCTGCCCCCTCCTCGAAGGCAGCACTGGGGGCGCTGCTGAGGAGCAGGCAGGGAGGAGGGGAACGGAAAGAGAGAATACTGTGCTCGCTTGCTCACTCACATATAAAAAGTAACTCCTTCATTTTTACATTTATACATCCAGCAGGGCCGGAAAAGGGCTTGCTGGGGCGGGCAGGGGCGCTCATCAAAGGACTTCTCTGGAAGGGGGCAAGAGGCTCTCTGGGGGAAGTCCAATAGGGCTGGGCCCTAGGCCAAGGGATCCCCTATCTCGTCCTCAGGGCCTCGGCCCAGGAGCTCTCGCTTCTCGTCCGTGCTGGCCAGAGAGTGGCGGCTCCCGTGGCCACCCATGTAGAGTGTGGCATACACGGGGTTGGTGAAGTTGGTGGGCTGCAGGGTAACAGAGAGTTCAGGTGGGGCTCGGAGGTACTCCACCCCCTACCTTCACCCCATCACCCAGCCCAACACCCTTAGGCACCCCACCCGAGCCTCTTGACCCAGCCCTGGGAGCCTCCTCCTCTGTCCTCCTGGCTCACCTTGTCAGGGTCCAGGGCAAAGTCAGCATCCAGTAGGCCACCCACATCGTCAGGCTCCCCGCCCTCATACATCTTATAGGTGGGGTTCCCAATCTCCACGTTCATGGCCCCGTTGGTCATCCGCTGGTGCTGGAAGCCCTTAGCCCTGGAGAGAAGCAGGAGTATAAGGGCGTGGGGGCTCTAGGAGGGTAAAATAATGACCAGAATGTTCCAGTCCTCCAT